CGACACTCTTCAGTGGGGTCACAGGAGTTATCAACACATTCCAAAGTGTAGTTCCCTGCACAGCGACACAGCTTTGAGCAGCCATCTCCAAATACGATCTCACCAGGCTGAAAAGAATTAACACAATCAAAACTAAGAAAGCGTGGTGTATAATTACATATTATTCAATTCATTCCATTTTTAGTTATTTAACAACAGTAGTCGCCTCTAGATTTATTTTATTTCTCACAACAGTCGGAAGGAAAAACTCCCTTTTGACAGGAAGAAATCCCTGCCAAACCAGGCACAGTGAGGAGTAGCCATCCGCTGTGACTGGTTGGAGTTGAGAAAAAGAGAAATAAAGGCAAATAAGAAAAAAGACACACTATGGAACACAGCCAGATAAGTAATGATGAGATGAAAAGTGTTTTATAAATAAACCCAAAAAGTGAAAAGCGTTAAGCGGAGCAGAAACATTCAGTGTATCATACGAACGCCTTAGTAGCCTTGACCTATTGCAGTATAACTAACTATTTTAGGGTCACCTGCTTCTACCCTAACTATGAGCTTTATCAAAAAATTGTAAGCATAATCCTAAAAGCAGAGAGGGCGTCTGTTTTGCAAATCTAAACTGAGGGCTGGTTTCACAGAAGAGGGACCTGAAATACAACTTATGCTTGCTATTTTGTTACTACAGTCGACCCCCGATTGTGGTTAGGGACCACAATCACTCTGGGAATACTTAAGAACGCCCTCTAAAAACGCTTATAACTGCCTGTTTTAATAGTTCAAACATGAAATCACCCTGACGAAAATAACTAATGAATATTTTAGATATGCTTTATCAAAAAATCCACAAATAGGCAAATTTTCTGCCAATAATTTAGAGTTACATTCCACAGAAAAATCAACAAATACTGAATAGGCAGAGGTTGACTGTATATCTGTGTTTACTGACCGGGAATTTATGTAGGATATCTAAATAGGACATCTGACCTCATAATAGTTATTCTCATCGTCTAAACAGCCACAACTCTCCAGTGGTATGCAACGCCGTC